AAAAAAAAAAAAAAAAAAAAAAAAAAAAAAAAAAAAAAAAAAAAAAAAAAAAAAAAAAAAAACGAAGAAAAATCTTCAGCAGACAGATCAGCCTCGCCCCCCATCACTGTTGCAATACAATGACCTCCCAAATTGTGGATGATTTATCTCCTGTTCTTAATCACACATGAAAAAACGAAGCAATTCCCTTAAAACCTTTCATTTCCCACCAATTTTCCCTTTTCAAAACCCTAATTTTCGCCCCCAGTTTGTTGTTTTCCGGAGACCTCACCGGTTTTCTCTTCCGATGATGCCCAATATTTGAGAAAACTGATTCCATTACGTTGTACTTTCTCATTCTCTTGAATCGGAGCCCGAATTCGAGGATCTGATGGATTTCCAAGAAAGAGATTCGTCCATGGCGATTTCCAGGACCTCGAATTCGTATATCAATGGACCTTCCTTGAGCCATTCTGCTTGGTTTGAGGTACGGCTCTTCTACGTTCGGATTTCTCCCTGTGTGATTGATTGCGTTCCCGATCATCTTAATCTGCGTCACCTTCGACGCGAAATTGGTGTTTCCCTTGAGATTAATGGGTCTCAAATTCCGGCCTCCGACTCTGTTTCTATAGCCCTTCGCCGCGATCGTCTCAACAAGGAATCCTCGGAGGTTACATACGTTAGTACCGATAGCATTCGGGTTACGGGGGGTGTGGAGTTCGAGGTGTATGAGAATGAGGATTTGATTCTCTGTGGGTCTTTGGAACGAATCGAGACCAACTGGATTAATGGGAGCGTTGGATTGGAGAACAATTCAAAGACAGGTTGGACTATGGAATGTTTCATGGCTGCGTCCATGTGTTCGGGTTCGTCGGCCTTTTTCCAGCCTAAACTTGGGGTATCCTCACCGGCAATTGAGGTTTATATCGCCGGTTGTTGTTCCGGTATGCCTGTGATATTGACGCAAACGATTCAGGTTAGTCCGAGGCGGAAGAACTTGAGGCAATGTGCCCTGGATGCAATTCCGGAGGATGAAGAAGTGGGAAAGGAGGAGAATATAAGTAATGGGTTGATTCGGCACCAGAAAGTGCAGGTAAAATTTTGTTCTCAATTCTTTAGGCGTTGTATGAGCTCAGCAATTCTAGAGTGCAGATCGCATTTTGTTGGTGGATATAAATTGGTTTGTTGATCCACGAACAATAATTCTCCGAATCTACACAACTCAGGACTGGTAAGAGTTGCAGCAGATGCTGTTCATGAACTTCCACATGATATTAAGCTAAGATCATTGTTTTTGTAGTTCTTTATTTATTTTTGATAACGGGGTATGAGGATCCCTTACCTTACATCCTCTAGGACTTCACACACTTCAGTTTAAATTATTGAGCTTTCTACATGGGCTTGAATCCAGCATAATAGTGGTCGTCTTGCCTCATAATTCTCGGTATTGAATTTCCATACGCCATAGAGTTGGGTGATATTTTGATTTTAAAAGCATTTTGAGTAGTGAATCTTCCAATGTATCATGCTCTTCACAGTATTTAATGCTTTAGAAAGAACCAAAATGTTCAAAATTTCATGGTATAATGCTCATACACAACATGTGTGATAAGAAAAAGTGTTTTTCTCTCTTTACTGTAGTTTCTGGTTGTGAATTCAGTTCGTGTTCTCCTCTATTGCTGAACCCTACTTTTCATATTATTGCTGTTAAAATCTTGGTTGCCTTACGGCTGTTGAGTGACTGCATTGTACTCGATCAATCGTTCAAAACTAGGCAATTTCTGGGAATACGTCGATCTCTAATTAAGTTATCATGTACCCCGTGATTTGTCGAGTTCTTGTGAGGTGTGGAACACGGTTTAATTGATTTTTACACTACTGATTACATTCCTTTCTTGGATTCATGTAGATGATAGAGTCTGAAGTTGATGATTATGACCCAGATGGTAAAATGGGGCATGGTTTCTACAGTGATGATATGTACACTGGCGAAGATGGGCAGCTTTCATGGTTCAATGCAGGGGTTAGAGTGGGTGTTGGTATTGGTCTCGGTGTGTGCCTCGGGGTTGGAATCGGTGTCGGCTTGCTCATGCGTTCATACCAAACCACAACAAGACATTTTAGACGACGGTTTACGTAATTAGGACACTCTTACTTGGGAATCTGGTAACTTTTTTCACTAATGAATAAAGGGGAAGAGATTTTCGGGTTCCCATTTCCTGGTCGTTAAGCCTGAACATAACATAAGATAAAGCAGGCACAAGGAAGTAATACGTTGATAGGACTTTGAACAGAATCAAGAAGTCATTGACAGCCACTGGAGGAAGTTGAGCTTAACTTATTCTGTAGGCAGGATGAAAGCTGTACAGTCTTTCCTTTTTGTTCTTTTCTCTGCACGAAGCACTTTCTCTCGGGGACGAGCAGCAGAGACCGACCTTCTTGCTCATTTCCATGGCTGCTTACTTTTTATATGAATATGTTTCTTTTCATAAAATGCAGGGCTCGTGTCGGTGCTTATCCTCAACGGATGTAACCTTTAATCTTGGGTAGCAGCGGAACACAACCCAATGGATTTGCTAGGACAGAATAAGCTTGTGTGAGGTTTGACTTCGTCTTACAAGAGTATCTACTGTTCTTTACCAGTTCTGTATAGGATACTACCTCTTCTTTTTTCGCCTCTCTGGGGTTTAATCACAATTATAGTCGCTTCACATTGCCATTTTTCCGTATACTTCGATTTGTTTCGATTTAGTCTCGGTAGTTTTGTGAACATATTAGTTTAGTTTCTGAGGTCGATTATCCAGTTAAATCGTATCGAAAAGTTGGGGCTTAGTACAGGTGGGGAGTTGCGATGACAGTTTTATATGTCGCACCGTTACGCACTAAGTCCTCATATATGGATGTATTTCGATTGCTATTTAACTGGATATTTCGATTTTGAGACAGAATTAATATTTTTGCGAAAGTACAAGAACTAAAACGGAACAAATGAAAAGACGGGATGATTCAAATCATAAGTACTAGAGTTACATTTTTTTCCCTTTTTGTTTTTCGTTTGAGTTGTTCTGGCCCAAAATTTTCTGACCTTTCATGGTGTAAAGTTCTTAACTTTATGTGGAAGAGTTCTGAGAATGTTATATGCATCAATCAATCTCAAGCAGCGCCTTGAGCTTATCATGTGATTTTTTTTCTACTGTTTTCTTCTTGTAACCGGTGGGAGATACCACATTGATGATACGTGACGAGCCAAAGTGAATAATATCTACTAGTAGTGGGCTTGGATTGTAATGGTATCATAGCCCAATATCGAGCAGTATGTCAGCAAGAATGTTGGCCTCAAGGGGATAGATTGTGAGATCTCACACCTCTTTTCTCTTAGTAGACGTGTTTTAAAATTGTGAGACTGATAACATTACTTAACGAACCAAAGCAAACAATGTCTACTAGGGTAATTATAAAAAAGTTATTGTTGCCAAATCTTCCATGAGTTAGATGGCGACACCCTTGGTTTCTATTGTGAGATCCTCTCTATACGCTCGAGCTCGTACTTTTATTTTATTAACGTTATTGTTTACTACTTATACAATTATTTTGTTTTGACTTTACCTATGAATTAGCTAGAAATTGGTTCTGACCTACTCGAACACTAACAATAAGTTTGTTTTTTTGAAGGAGTCCATAGTCTTTTAGCTAAATTGGAGAACACTAACAATAAGTTAGTTTTTGGAAGGAGTCCATAGTCTTTTAGCTAAATTGGAAATCTTAAAAGTTAGAAGGTTCAACGATAAAAATTACCTAGTCGTGGCGTCAACTTGAACTACAAGAAATATTAAATAAACAAGCTTAGAACGGTCTTAAAGATGTCTGGTTATGATTTTTTAAAACTTTCATCATATAAGGTATAAAAATCAAGTTAATTTGAACAGGTTTGAAGAATTTGTAGATGATTGACTTCTGCTGTTTGGATATATTTCATGCTCGTTTGAGATAAATACCTGTTCATCTCAACGTGGACTCAAAACGTTACTTGTTTTACTCAATTGTACTTGACACGATCGATGCCGACAACAATAAAAGCCATTGGTCAAACTTTTCTCTTTTTAATAGGCCAAACTCTCTATGGATATTAAAAAAACATCCAATCATCAAACATTTCAGTGCTACCACATTTATTATACAATCCAATATCAATCTATGCACTCATAATATTAAATAAACACATTAAATTCTATTTTTAAATTTAAAAAAAAAAACAAAAATCTTAACAAATTATACAAAATAAATAGATAAAAATAACATTATTGATTGCAGTTGAAAATAAAATAAAATGGTATGTATTTCATTTGTAATAGAATTTAATTTTAAATTTTGTAATTTTTAAAAGGAATTAAAATTGTAATTTTGGAAATTTAAAGATGTAATAACACGAACGTGGAGGATTAAATTGTTAATTTAAGAAAAAAGAAATGATTATTGGTTTGAAAGTGGAAATTACTATTTAGGGGTCATAAGGTCCTGCTTGCAATAATTTGAAGGAAGGACATGAATGGAATAAAGTGAGATCACGAGGGTATGTAATAACCTAGCGAAGAGCACAGATCTCACTGACTGAAAGCTTTCTTCCCCGCTCTGAAAAACGACCCCTCGCCGGAAGAAGAGACCTTCAACTACCAACTTCAAACCAATTGCAGAAAAAGAGTGCTGTGAGGGGAATGTCGATTTTCCCATAAGATTCCGCCGGAATTACGGGCTTTGCCTCAAGTTCCAGCGCAATACAAGCTTCGAGGAGGTGGCGGTATCATTTCTGGAGCTGCGACGGAGACGGCTACGATGAGTAGAACTCTCAGATCCTCCGCCGCAATGCCTCAACGGAATAACCCTAAACCTCTACCGTTGGTCGTTACTCTCAACTGCATCGAAGATTGTTCGCTGGAACAGGATTGTTTGGCCGGCGTTGCTGTGGTGGAGCATGTACCGCTTAGTCGTTTGGCGGGCGGGAAAATCGAGTCGGCTGCGGCGGTGCTTCTTCACTCGCTTGCGTACCTCCCACGGGCTGCTCAGCGCCGGCTTCATCCTTACCATCTTATCCTATGTCTCGGTTCGGCTGACCGCTCCGTCGATTCCGCTTTAGCTGCGGATCTTGGTCTCCGGCTGGTTCATGTCGATACTTCCCGAGCGGAGGAGATTGCCGACTCCGTCATGGCGCTTTTCCTTGGATTGCTTCGCCGCACTCATCTGCTCTCTCGTCATACACTCTCGGCTTCGGGATGGCTCGGGTCTGTCCAGCCTCTTTGCCGTGGCATGAGGCGCTGTCGAGGATTGGTTTTGGGGATTGTTGGCAGATCTTCTTCGGCTCGGGCCTTGGCTACGAGGAGCTTAGCCTTCAAGATTAGCGTGCTTTATTTTGATGTCAATGATGTAAGTTTCGTTGCTCTTTCTTAATGTCTTACTTCCAAATGACGTGATTCCATAGCTAGATATTAGTACTCTCTTCGTTGGATCTGTGACGGTTACGTTGGTTGGGAGCTGAGTTAAATTCTATAGCGTGCTTTATTCGTTTTTTTGCTTTCCGCACCATGCTTTATAGGAAGCCTAGAAACTGAGATCATGGATTGTTGGATGTCTGTTTGATATAGCAATATTTCTGATTCCCGTCTCCTGGCGCACTAGACTTTGGGCCAAGTAAAGTTGTACGAGGGCTTATCATTTGTTCTTAGTTCATTTAAACGAGCTGATTTTTATGTTTCCAAGTTTTTTCCATCTTGGGTAGCTTCACGAATGTGGAGTAGCAGGTTCATGCTACCTGATAATGGGTAAATTCATTGTTCGTCTACTTGCTTGCGTTCACGTTGACTGGATATAGCTTATTCTCTATTTTTACTATCAGCATCATTTTTAAATTTTTCGTTCTGATATCCTTTACACAGGGAAAGGAGAAAGTGAGCAAGTCTACGGTAACATTTCCATCTGCTGCTCGAAGAATGGATACTCTTAATGATTTGCTTGCTGCAAGTGATCTTATATCACTTCACTGTGCCCTAACAAACGATACAGTTCAGATTATCAATGCTGAATGTCTGCAGCACATAAAGCCTGGTATGTGTTAATTGCATGAATTTGGATTCATTGTTTAAAGTTTTTATTTCCTTGTGTTTTCTGTTGATGGGAGATTATCACTTTTTACAGGGGCATTTATTGTTAATACTGGTAGTAGCCAATTATTGGACGATTGTGCTGTGAAGCAACTTCTGATTGATGGAACCTTGGCTGGCTGCGCTCTGGATGGTGCTGAAGGGCCACAATGGATGGAAGCATGGGTATGTAACCTTTTCACATGGTTCTATAAAACAAAATGCTAGGAGTTTTAGCATTTTAAATATTGTGATATTGTTTCGTACCTCATTGTTAGTGGCACACTTTACCTGTCTATGGTTTCAGAACCAGTAGAAATTCTAAGAAGAAACAGAGAAACCATTAAAATTCTTAGCTCTGCTGCAGGTGAAGGAAATGCCAAATGTATTGATACTTCCGCACAGTGCAGATTACAGTGAAGAAGTTTGGATGGAGATCAGGGAGAAATGCGTCTCTATATTACAGACATTCTTTGTTGATGGGGTTTATCCGGAGAATGCCATCTCTGATGAGGATGAGGACGAATGTGAGGTTAATGAAGTAAAAGAACAATCTGATGATCGAGGTAAAGAGGGCACCCTTCAGCTTGCGGTTGTTGAACAGTTGACTGATGATAACCACTTAAGTCCAGAGAGCTCCCAGAAGAATGGGTTGAATCGCTCAACTGAGTCATCCAGTCAGCCCCAGAGTTCCAGTTTGTCTCAAACTACTGTGACCCGCTCTGATGGAAGGCGCAGTAGGTCTGGTAAGAAAGCCAAAAAAAGGCATACACGTCAAAAATCTCAACAGAAGGATGATTCTCTCATGTTAGAAAAGGAAAGTACCTCTCATCGAGAAGATGATACTGCCATGAGTGGCACAGATCAAGTATTAAGTTCTAGCTCCCGATTTGCTTCCCCTGATGAATCGAGAAACAGGAAAGTGCCTATGGAGTCTTTGCAAGAATCTATCTCAGATCCATCACTTAAATCAAAAAAGAAATTATTTAGAAAGTCTATTGATCAGCTGAAAGATGGGTATATTGTAGCCATGTATGCTAGAGATTGTCCTACACTCCATGTATCCCGGCAAAGAGTTAAAGGTGGTGGTTGGTTCCTTGATACCATGACAGATGTGACAAAAAGAGACCCTGCTGCACAGTTTCTGGTAGTTTTCAGAAACAAGGTTTGTGTAGGAACTTTTTTCTTTGTTAGACTAGTTGCAACTGGATAGCCGGTATAATCTTCTGATACTTTAATTTCAGGATACGATTGGTCTTCGATCTCTCTCTGCTGGTGGGAAGTTGTTGCAGGTAAGAAAACAAGCTTGTTGTACCATTTTGAGCTAGAACTCTCTGCTGTTGTGCCAACCCATCCCCACCCCCGCAAACTCACACATTTTATGAAGACATTGATGTAATTCAATTCTTAAAAGAGTGGAACATCTTGGCATAAAGAAGTAAACTAAGCAGAGTTACTAACTAGGGTTGAAAATTTTGTTTTTTTGGTTATATAAATCTTTTAAGTTTATGTAATTGTTTCTCTTTCATTGCGCAAACCAACTGGATCTCTTTTTTTAACCTTAATTGGCTCAATGGGGCCTCTTTTCATGGCGACCTTTTTCTTCACCTCAATGAAACATTTACCATTTCTATTTTCTTAAAATCCATGGAATTGAAACCTTTGAGCAAGGCCCAGTCCCATATGGTTGTAGTAAAATTGTTTTAATTTGTTATATGTAGATCTTAAGTTGCAGTTTGATTTTTCATATTGCAGATAAATCGTAGAACGGAGTTTGTATTCGCTAGCCACAGTTTTGATGTTTGGGAGAGTTGGATGCTTGAAGGTTCTCTGGAAGAATGTAGGCTGGTCAATTGTAGAAACCCATTGGTAAGTTCTTTGCTTACTACTTTCTGGATTGCACACTATTATTTTTAGTTCATGTATATAATTAGACACGGTCATTTGGATTTTCTATTTGTCGAATTGAAAAGGTCTAATCTTTCCATGTATGAATCCAGTGAACTTAGTTCTACAAAATAGTATACCTGTTTTTCTCGTCTCAGTATATAAGATGATTCAGCTTGTTGATCTTGCGACTATGAGATGTTTGATTAAGGATAAGCTTGGCCACTTTTAAAATAGGAAAAGTGCTTCTAGCTAATAAAAAAATACTTTCAAATTAAATTTTAATTTTAAAAACTTGGAGGAGTGTTTTCCTTGTGAAAGTATTTTACTTCGAAGTACAATTCTTAAGAGTCATCTCAAACTCCTAACACATGCCAGTGCTTCTTTTGCAGTATGTAATGTAAAATTCTTCCTTTTATATATGAATCCTCTTTCTTCCGCTCATCTCTATGGTTTTGTTGATTTTAATGAAAATTATAGGCACTTCTGGATGTGCGCATTGAAGTTCTCGCAACTGTAGGTGATGATGGAGTTACTCGCTGGCTAGATTAGAAGTATTCAAATTTCCACCCCTTTTGTCCACTAATTCAAGGTTTGCATAACTTCGAAAGCTTGAAAAGTTGTAGAGCATTCTTTTTCCTTTCTTCGTTTTTGGTTACCTTATTCCTCTTTCGGTTGTTTGCCATATTTGAGCGAAAAGGCTACCTTCTTTACTATAGGCTTTGAAGTCTCTGTCTCTGTACTCAGCCTGTGGATGAATGAGTGTACTTTGTAATCTATTTTAGAGCTTTACGAAGATTTGTCAAGATTGAACGCACTTTCTCTCTCGACTAGACTTCTAGTGTAAATCATTGTCTTGCTTCCTTATCAAGTCAAAGGTTGATGGTGGGCAAGTGTCTTAAACCAACTTTCGGCCTTTCAAACACAAAATTTAGAAACGTGCCCCACCTTGTCAAATGCAAACTTAAACTTGAAGCTTGCATTCACAAACATAAATAATTCCCACTCAACTTCTTTTTTCTTCTTTTTCTATTTGTGGACGATGATTACTGCTTAATTTTTATTTTTTTATTACTATTTATTTTTGTGAACAAATCCTTCAAGACAGTACTAAATTAGGTTATGGGTTAGTTATAGAAATGCCTGGAAGGCCTGAATTCGGTTGGAAAAGCTTCAAATGGTGGGTAGTACCAAACTTAGCTAGATCCTGGTTGTTCTACTTGTTTCTTTTGTAAACCTAGTATATTCTGCATCCCATAGATTTTGGTAAAATAAAGTCAATGCCCACCTTTTCCCAATAAGTAAAGTTAAATTTCTATTTCTAATTAGTACACATCACTTGTCTCTTTCTGCTTGCTTGTTTAAAGTAGTCCATTCTTTATATTATAAATTAGGATTAGAGCAGGTTTTTTGCTTTTATTGTAACAAAAGATTGTAGGAGTAAAAGCAAAGAAAAAACTTTATATTTTATGAAGAACTGCCAAGTTAGTTTAGCCATCTGTGTCAGACTGACGTTGCTTGCTTCAGCAGATTTCTGTGCTTATTGGCATATTTTAATTGGCTGCTGAGGTCAGGATGTGGGTTAGAACTACAAAATTAAGCCTCATATTGGTATGATAGTCAAGAAGGAAAAGTATATGAAGTTCACAACAGCTGAGGAACCTTCGTTTACCTAATTTTTGGAAACATAACATGACTAACTTCTTATTACTTTGTCCAAATTTATGTGCAAAGAGACGCCTGGATAAGGCCACAATGTTCTGATGCGATGTCCTTGCCGGCTATGGGCGACGCAGAGGTACTTTTCGCTGTCACTCTCAAATGGATAACTGATTCTCTTTGTTGCCCCCATGCCTTGCCCATAACTAACACTCTCCATGACGTTTGCTTATTCTAATGCTTCCTCCTCTCCCTTTACCTTGGTTTTCTACTTTTTGTCTCTTTAAGAAAAAGTTTATTTGGAGTGTGTTCGGGTTTCGTTGTAAGGAGAGTTGATGCGGTTGGAATGAAGTTTGAATCTCTACCCTCAAAAGAAATAGTAAATTTTAGTTACGGTTGTGTGATGCACGGTATTGGCATTATATTTTATAGTATTTCTTAACTAGGTTCTTTCGTGTAGTTTAGAGATGAGAAGTCGAGGTTCATATTTTCTAGTCAAGTTAATAGGTTTGAGTTTATGAAATGTATGTTCGACTTGATTTAAAGAGTAAACACACACAAAACGGCCCAAAAAATGTATATATTTCTTTAAATTGTTTCTAAAATCATCAAAATTTTATCAACATGATCATTTTTATTTAAAACTTGTCTTACCATAAATTTTATGTTTCGGTAAATTGAGCCATACACCACGTAAAAATATATTTATTGACATAGAGAACAATTTTATTAAAATAATTTAACTAGAATGTTTTTTTTTTAAGGGGTAAAAATAATTTTCCATTTTCGAAATTAAAAAATGGAAAAAGAAATTGTTAGTAAAACACTGATCTGAGGTAACGCAGACGATAGTAGGCCCAATTTTTAGAAGAGTTAAAAGCCTCGCGTCCTCTCCACGTGACCATCACTGCCTAACGACAGTAGAACCACGTGGGACCAATCAAATTGAACTTAGGGAGCCACGTGTAAGGCGTAGATCCAACGCATATAAACCACGTTACGAACTGAGCTGAAAACTATAATATTATTGTATTCCCTTTCCCACTAAAGTCCAAAAGTCGGTTGAATTATAAACCACATTTTGTACTCCAACCCAACTCCACCATACAAAAACGAAAATTCCAGACCCAATACCAGAAGCAAAATTTTGATAATTCAACCCAACAACACTGATCTCTGATCTCAAACTACGTGTTTCTCTAAATATTTGATGATTTTTTTGGTGTCTGTGAATCATAATCATCATTCTGCTTGAGGATTTTACTCAGATTCGATGAGTATGAGCTATTTTCCTGGTATTGATTCTGTTCGACCTCCAACTGCTTCACTAAGAACTCCTGCTCCGCCTACTTCCACTTCTAATTGTGTTGCTTCCTTCCCGGTCTCAGAGGATGCGAGTAAGAAGATCCGAAAGCCCTATACTATTACCAAGTCGAGAGAGAGTTGGACGGAGCAGGAGCACGACAAGTTTCTTGAAGCTCTTCAATTGTGAGTGATGCCTTTTCATTTATCTGATTGGGAATTCAATTGAGTTTTGTGGATATTTTATGTATCACTGTTTCTTTGGCGGAGAAAAATTCTAGATAGGCCGAGAGAAGTTTGGAGGAGGAGTTTACTTTTAGTTCTTTCTTTGATTTCTCTGTTACTTTACATTTAGGCACAGTTTTGGTGTTTAATGACTTTGAGTGTTTGAATACCTGGAATTCCGTGCATTGACCAGTGAATTCTGCTTTTCAATTTCGGATGAGGAAATAGAGGATCTTCGCTGTCCTCTGAACGCTCTTTAGTTGATTAGACCTAAGGTGCTGGAACTTGAATCCCTGCTATATGATATTTTTGATTGGGCTATCCTTCTTAGTTTATGTTAATCCAACGTTTTTAAACAGAGGTAAGTCCTTCTTTAACTGATACAGACGTTATTGAGGGAAATCCGCGTCCTCTCTAAGCATTAGTGAGCATCACGGTTCTAGTTTCGAGGCGCGCACGTAGATGTAGAATAATGTTTTTGCGCTCAAGTACTTGAGGTCGGTATGACTCCTTTACCACAACCTCCCTGCCGGAGGTATGGTCAAATTATGTAAATTAGCACAGTGACTAGAACACAGAACACAAGGGACTGTGTGATCTTGTTTCCGAAGCAGGATAGAAGTCTGGGCTAATCGTACGATCACCTCTTACAGTTTTGTATCAAATTGAGTGAGTGAACGCCTTTTCTTGAAATCGAGTTATTTTTTCGTTTTTCCCCCACTACCCTGTGCACCTTTTATCATCATCCCTCTCGCGTCAGAACTCTCTCGCTTGCATTTCTTGTTCTTAAAAGTTTGTGGAAAATTCTGCCGAAATTCTGGGGGGAAACACTCCTTTCTCTCAATCTAAAATGTGGAAATGCCACAATCCATTTACCTTCTGCGATGCTTTTTTTTGTTGTTTACTTTTTCTCAGATGAAGCGTAGTTTGGAATTTGTCAATCTGATTCTATCACGAAGACTTCGATAGTCACATCATAGGGTTTCAGTCCTTTGGACGATGTAAGGACAAAGGAATTTGGTCCTCTGCATTCCAAATTGAAACCTCCAAATTTAGCCAAGAAATTGTTGAGTGGGTGACATGGAAAAGTTTAATGTTAACAGATGGGGGAAGAATTGTTAGGCCTAATAGAAAAGCCAGGTTGGTTTTATTGTGAGAAATTTGTAAATGAAGTGATTAAGTGGTTCCTTAACAATCTAGGCCTCTTTGGAAGTTGCCAAGGACGCCTTTACGGTGGCTGCAAATTAGTATCTGCAGTCAATATCACCAATGCTATATGAGATGTTTTATTTCTATAGGATCTTGGTTTTGCCCTTGCTTCCTATGTAATTTTTTCCGAATTTTATGTACGTATTATTTCTACTCCCCTTACAGATTTGATCGTGACTGGAAGAAGATAGAAGCATTTGTTGGCTCAAAAACAGTTATCCAGGTAATTTCTGTAGCAGTATTATGGTACTCCTTTTAACAGTGATGTTTCCATCCGCCCGCCCTTTACATTTTCCTTATTTTCTTCTAGCTCTTCTTCTTTGGAGGATCGAGGAAGAATGTTCAAAACTTGGTAGTGCTGATCTTTAAAATTATATGGCATCTTCCAACCTAAGATTTCAATTTATTTTGATGGCTTTGTACCAATCCTTAAAATTCCTAAAACTCAGTGTTTGTGAGGATTGGATAATTATAGCATTCTATAAATCAAGTTTAGTAAATTATATTCAAATTATTCTAGCCTGCTTTACTGATGAACTCTTCAGCGATTCTTAACCGCGAGTTCTGTCGTTGGCAGATTCGCAGTCATGCTCAAAAATATTTTCTAAAGATTCAAAAAAGTGGGAAAAGCGAGCATGTACCTCCTCCTCGACCAAAGAAGAAAGCATCTCATCCATACCCACAAAAAGCTCCTAAGAATGGTGAGTGAATTTTTTTTGCTTTGGCGAGTTGATCTATCATATAAAAACCACCTGGCCTGATGTGTAATTTCTGATGGTTCCAGCAACCACTCAGAGTCCTGGGATGTATCCACCTTTATCTACTCCATTTGAACCAAGATATACTTACATTCCAGACTCAACAGCAGGGTTTGGACTTCCCAGTCCACATGCTTCTTGGAGCTGTAGTCCAGTGCCGACCATTGATTTTTCCCAAGTACCCGAAGGTTCTAGCCATCAATCTTCCTTCTTACTGTCAAAGATTTTTCTGTTTTTAGGTGTTCCATATTTTGACGTCACTTTAGATTTTCTTTGAAACTAACGATTTTGTTTTTAGATCGTGTAAAATTAGCTGGACCAACATCACATAGTAGCAGTAGTGGGAGCACTTCACGGACAAGAAAAATTGGAGAAATTTCTGACCAAGGAGATCAAAGCATGCGAAACAGAGGTATGCCTTCAATTTTCTATGCATAATAGGCTTTGAGTTTGCAATTGAAAATTCTAAAATATTTGACTATGATTACAATTATTTGGCTTGCATTATTGCCAATTCATACTTCATTCCTCTTCTAATAGGATTCTTGGATGTTAGTTTCTACATAATATTTTCCTCTAAAAGACCATTCTATTTGTCTGTAAAAATTAAAAATGTTGCAACAAGGACGTGATATCCTCCATGAGCCTTGGAATTTTGGAAACAAATTCTTGACTCCCTTATGCAGAAGTATTTTTTCACTTCAATTAATAAGGTCAAACAGAAGTTTCATTCT